AACAAAAGGGGGGAAAACAACCACAAAGAGACACAAAATGACCACAGAGATACAAAACAACCACAAAGAGACACAAAATGACCACAAAGAGACACAAAATGACTACAAAGAGGCACAAAATGATCACAAAGAGGCACAAAATAACAACAAAAGGGGGGAAAACAACCACAAAGAGACACAAAATGACCACAGAGATACAAAACAACCACAAAGAGACACAAAATGACCACAAAGAGACACAAAATGACTACAAAGAGGCACAAAATGATCACAAAGAGGCACAAAATAACAACAAAAGGGGGGAAAACAACCACAAAGAGACACAAAATGACCACAGAGATACAAAACAACCACAAAGAGACACAAAATGACCACAAAGAGACACAAAATGACTACAAAGAGGCACAAAATGATCACAAAGAGGCACAAAATAACAACAAAAGGGGGGAAAACAACCACAAAGAGACACAAAATGACCACAGAGATACAAAACAACCACAAAGAGACACAAAATGACCACAAAGAGACACAAAATGACTACAAAGAGGCACAAAATGATCACAAAGAGGCACAAAATAACAACAAAAGGGGGGAAAACAACCACAAAGAGACACAAAATGACCACAGAGATACAAAACAACCACAAAGAGACACAAAATGACCACAAAGAGACACAAAATGACTACAAAGAGGCACAAAATGATCACAAAGAGGCACAAAATAACAACAAAAGGGGGGAAAACAACCACAAAGAGACACAAAATGACCACAGAGATACAAAACAACCACAAAGAGACACAAAATGACCACAAAGAGACACAAAATGACTACAAAGAGGCACAAAATGATCACAAAGAGGCACAAAATAACAACAAAAGGGGGGAAAACAACCACAAAGAGACACAAAATGACCACAGAGATACAAAACAACCACAAAGAGACACAAAATGACCACAAAGAGACACAAAATGACTACAAAGAGGCACAAAATGATCACAAAGAGGCACAAAATAACAACAAAAGGGGGGAAAACAACCACAAAGAGACACAAAATGACTACAAAAAGACACAAAACCAGCAAAAAAGACACAAACTGACCTTAGAGAGACACAAAACAACTATTCAAAGTGACACAAAACAACAAAAAGATGCAGAATGACCACAGGGAGATGCAAGACGACAACAGCAGCAAAGAAAACAAGAGGTAAACCACCACAAAGTCTGTGTGTCTTGCTCTTATGTGGGAAAGGTGGTTGGGCATTTTTATCCGTGTTTTATAATCTGCCCATACATGACTTGATTAGGGCCTACATATATAAGCAGTGGCACCCCTGCTATGATTTCTTGTAGTCAAATGATTTTATCCCCTTTGTCCACCTGTTATAGGCTAATGAAATAAAACCATCTCAAATGAAACATTATACTGGTAAAGAGTGAAAAAGTGGCTCAAATGATGTATTATTTATGAGGAAGAGCGTAATGTAGGCCATGTCTAAGCTCAGGATCACTTTCAAAGTAAAGAAACCAGACACACTGTGAGATTTAGGCATTATTTATATTGTGCACATGTTCAAATGACAGAATTCTAAAAGATACAATGAACAGATTTGGTCATTACCATCAGAGCTTAAGGATAAAGGATTTTTCAAATGCAGCACAACAATATGCCTCCATTTGTGTGTAAAGGAATTTGTAGACTGATTTGGAAAAATAAACCCAATCTATAGCTGCTATAAACAGTGTTAAATATTTTTTTTCATACCAGTAGAGAAGCTGAAATCAGCATGCGTCCCAAATATTTTATCCCAGTGGCTGAAGTGTGGCGCAAAATTGGTGTTGGGTTTCTGATGGTGTACATCGTGTTTGCTGGGCCCTCCGTAGATGCCAAATGGTATCAGGCGTGACGTGGACCAGGGGAAATCATAGCCACAGTGATCCTCAATGGAAACATAGACATGCAACACCATGAAGGCCCATGTGGTGAGAAAGTGGCATCTCAGGATCACAGGATTCAGAGTGGTCCAGAAGCCCACTGTGACCAGCTCCCAGCCGCCAAGACACTGAGTGGCAAGAGCAAAGGGAGAGGAGTAGTTATGATGGATGGCATGGAAAGTGACATACAGCCAGCGGATCCTGTGATGGAGCAGATGCCAGATGAAGTACTGGAAGTCAAAGAGCAGAAGGTTGCCTATCACCCCTGCAATCAGCTCCAGCAGGGCCGGAGCCTGGTCCGGCAGGTCCACAGGTGGCCTCCATGCCCACTGAGCCACTGATGCTGGCAGCACGAGAAACACATGGTTGTACAAGGTGACACCTGCACAGTGCAGCAGCGTAGAGGCTGTAGGGCGACGGCTGGGTTGGATCTTGAATTGTTGGACCCATGCCCACTTTTCTCCCATGATATCGCAAAGGAGGAAAGGAAGGCACAAGACGAAGTAGGAAGACACGGTCAGAACAACGGGGAAGAGTGGAGATCTCAGATAGTCTCTGTAGTTGAGCCGCAGACTGTCCCACAGAGGCTGCAGCAAAGAGTCATTTCCTAAGCGTCTTATCCAAAGATCTACACTGGTATCAAGATCCATCCTGAAGTAAAAATCACAAGGTGAATATCTTATGACAATGTGAGGAATGGACTTGTTACAGCCAGAAACAGCAGCTCTGTTAAAGACTGTTTTCTATGAGTGTCTGCTTCACTGTGTGGGATCAAGTGACAGCTGGGTGCAACGATGCAACAAATTATTCATACACCCTGGGTAACTGGTAACATATAGCTAGGTCTCCGCGTGATATATTGTTCAGTATGGGATATCATTTTTAAAATCAGTGACAAATACGATCAAATTGTTTATTTGAGCCAGTATGAATATTACTTCCAATAACATATTCATTATTTTTCATGGTATGACACTTGTTTCACAGCACTCAAGGAGATAAAGGCACCTGGCATACCGATATAACACCACCTTATCCTGTTACAACAATATTCATAACTTGGATTATTTTCAGTGAAAAACTTGTTTCCCTAATGAACTAATGGAATATAAATAACTCACCAGGCATGGAACAGACACATATTCTGGCTTTATGACAATGTCAGAGGAAGGGAGTCACCAGTTGTTTTTCCTCATGCCGGTAAATCTGGATTAATTACGGCCTTCTTTGCTGCTCACGGTTTCAGTAAAATGAAACGAACCAAGCTAATAATTTGTAGCATCTCCATATGGCAGAACTGTAACCATTCATATTTATTTGCATGATCTAAACAGCTAACTAATATTAGCTTAAGTTGGAAGTCAACAATCTGATTTTATACATCCAAAGAACTTCTATAAAAATGAACTGCTTGGCAGCCAGACCAGGCTTCTAATTGAGACAGGCCTTTATTTGTCAAAATGTGTAGCAACACCAGGCTGGTAAAAGAGACTGGGTGTTAAACTGGGACAAGACTTAAATTTAAGTTTTACAATAAGATCAGACCTATTAATCCCACATCGGGGATATTCACACATTAAAGAAAGAAGAAGAAAGAAGTGGAAAAAGTAGCTGAGTATTAAATGAGGATAAAAATACAACAAAAATACAAATCAGATAAAAATAAAATGATATAAAATATAAATATACTATATAATAATTTCACTTATAAAGATACTGTATATCCATGATGTATAGTTGCACAGGGTAATTGTAATACACACAGTGTAGTATTTTTTACTAGAAAAAATATAAATATTATTGCACAATAATTGGTAAGATATTACAAGAAAGTGAAATATATATGATAAGAATATCTCTACATATAAAGTTAATGTTAAAGTAACAATAAAAGGTCTGTGACAGCTTTTAAATATGCCTATTGTGATGTAATTGTTGTCCCAGGTCAAGAATGAACTCTGCACCTCAGCCTTTGAGCCAACATGGGTGGGTCTTTAAAGTGCTCAGCTGATAAAGATTGTGCGATATGATTAAAACGCTCCTGAGCAGCTACTAAGTGGACTTTGTGGTGAGATTGTTTTCTCAGCTGGTCAAGAATGAACTCTGAACCTCTTCACGTCCATTTCACACTCCAAACTGCAGAGGGCGACAAAACACATTTTAACTAGTGCACAACGATGATATTCGGCAGCCTGTAATTTAACTCATCATAACCTTTACACATGATAATGTCGTTTGGTTACATCGCGGACCCGAGTGTTACCGAACTAACTCGGAACCTTTCGTCTAACGTAATGACGTCAGGCTACGTTTCCTGTTGCACGTAACGGTTCAGTCTCTGTGGTGTCTTGACAGTTAGCAGGTAAGGCTACTTTAAAAGGTTATTTGAGGCTGTTTGACCCTCCTTGTATCAGTACACGGAACAAACTTTAACGTGGACCCTTGTGTGCATTTGATATCAATGTAATGTAACAACAATAACTTAATTTGTCTAAATAAGCGGACAAACATTAGCAAAACACTCCCCCCTGTCGCCTGTAAGTAAAGTTTAGCTAGCTAAGCAAAATGCTAACGTTGTTTATTTTGTGTCCTCTTTAACATTAACGTTAGAGCAAAATGCCCAAATGCCACGTTATTGCTAGAGGGGTACTTAAATACTATTGTAGAAGACTTGGGCTTTAAGTGGACCCCATGTTAGGTAAAATGCAACTAACTGAACCAGAAACTTGTATGGGTATTTATTGCCGTGTAGATATTTAAAATACCAGGTAGATCATTCACCTAACGTCCAATTAGAGCAATAAAACAGGTTCAAGTCCATCTGACTGACCTCTGAATACGTGAGGCATTAAATAAAGGCAAATCTGATGTTAGGCTTGGCCATACTATCTGGTCAAACACCTGCAAACATCCTGTTTTTAACTTTATATCGAAGGTAAGTCAGTGATGTTTTAAAAATATTGTTACAAATTTGGGAAAAAAGGTCTTCGGGGAAAAATGGTAGCTGGCTGGAGGGGCGTGTTGGTGTATGTGTTTGACTGCATGAATAAGTAAACCTGAGCTGTAGCTAAATGTACCCTGCATGTTATGGGCACCCTGCCTGCTAATTGATATTAGCAGTGGCTCTTTAAACAAGCTGAGGAGGTGGTCCCCAACTGTGTAACCTGACGACCCCAGACTGAGTTTCATACTTTATGGATATTTCATATTATTCAATGTACTCAACAGTACAGGACAGCTGATAAACTGTACAAATCAGAATCAAACATGCTTTTATTGTCATTGTATTATTAAAAAAACACTACTAAATTAGGAGTGCTACTCCTTTAAAGTGCTGACAGTTAAAAACCACATCCTCCATACATTCAGCCATCCAATCCACACAATGATAAATAATAATAAGTAAGTGTAATAGGTTAAAAAAAAACCTACATATTGCATGTCTGTGAATATTGCACATATAGTGTAGTAGATTGTTTATGAATATTGCACATTTAGTGCAGTAATTATACCCATAAAAAGGGTTCATCCTGTGTATTTGAATTCAGAAGCTGGGGAAGCTGTGTTTGAGTCTGTTTGCCTGGGAATTGAAGCCAAATAGTAAATGCAGGAAGTTTGTGTAAAACAAGCGAATTGGATGACATTTCAGTAGGTTATTTCCTGTGCATGTTGCATCAAAGATGAGTTTTACTGTCATTTTTAGTAACTTTTAACACAATTCTCTGTCTGTGTTATCATTATTATTATTATCATTATTAGCAGAGAGACAAGGTTCTCAGAATATAGCTTTTATTCAGGTCTTCTCTGTGCCCTTACCCACAGAGTTTGTTTAACAGTTCATGTATTAAATAGGATTCCAGACTTGCAAAATATCATTTAGTCTTCTTAACAGAAATGAATGAATCCAGAGATATAGGCCTACTGTACCTTTGTAAGATAAAAGTTGTTATCTACCGACATAATTACTTCTGCGCACAAGTAGGGCTGGGTGATGTAGAGAAAATTAAATATCATGATGGTTTTGACCAAATACCTTAGAACAATATCGCAGGGTTGACTATTGCTGCTTTCACAAAAACCTGACACCGCAAGATTTTTTGATGAATAATAAATTAGTCATGTGGATATGATGACAAAGTGGGTAAAGGCAAATAATAGAACAGTTAAAACAGTCCAGTAAGTTCAGAAAATTACATCACTTTACTTTAGCACAGCCTTTAAAACCAGGGAAAGACAACACTAATGATATTACAATATCCAAAATCTAAGAAGATATCTAGTTTCATATCACAATATTGATATAATGTTGATACATTGCTCAGCCCTATGCACAAGATAATTATTTGTTGTTATCGACACACTGTTGTAGATGATAGTGTTCTTCTAGCAGTTTGGGGAAGTTTGTGTCTGTTTCAACATGACAGTGCCCCTGTCCACAAAGCACATAAACAAAAGGTGTTCCCAGTTTAGTATTGATGAATTAAATGTCTGTATTGCCCAGCATCAGTGTCCAACCTCAGTAAGACTCTTGTGACTCTTGTGAGCGCAAATGTCTGTATCAAGGTTTCAAAATCTTGTACAAAGTCTTTTCAGAAGAGTGGAGACTGTAATCACAAATGAGTGTTTGTGTGTCCACATACTTTTGGCCCTGCAGTTTTTACAGATAAGTAGAAGAAGTAGGTCCACCTCTTTATTCTGTGTTACTGCATTCATTCATTCATTCAGGTGTTAATAATGATGGAGAATGGTGAGGGAGAGAAGACAGCTGCTTCAGAGCCAGTGCTTCATACACAGCCGCTGTGCCGCTTCTTCTCTCAAGGAAGACACTGCAACTTTGGGAAGAGATGCAAATTCCTACACATTAGAGATGACGCCAGAGCTCATGAGAGGAAAACTATCAGGACACCCAGCCAGTCAGATGTCACATCTCCAAACTTAGAGGTTCCTGGAGGAGATATGGGACCTCCTCCTCCAAATAACCCCAGGGTTGCTCCAGCAGCTGGCCGCCGCCCCTGTCGCTACTTTATCTCAGGCCACTGCACCATGGAAGACAGGTGTCGCTTCTGGCATCCACCACAGTTCCCCCCAGTGGATGACCACCCTGTTCCTAGGATTAACCCAAGACCAGCGCTGAGTATGCCACCAGTACCCCGCCCTGGCACTCTCCAGGAGGTCAAGCTGCGTGACCTGACAGAGGATGTGGCCAAGCAGCTACGAGACACAGAGATCAAGCAGTTGAAGAAGCGTTTTCCAAAAGATCAGCTGATTATTCAGGAACATGATGATGGCAAAGTTACTTATTACAGAGTGACTGTAGAGGCCACTGATCCAGACTGGGTAAACATTATATTTTACCATCTTTCTCCTCTCCTTCCCCGAAAGATTAAAGAAAAAAATCCATCCACACGTCTGTAATACAGCACACCTCAGTTTTAATAAGTGAATTCTAATAAGTCTTTACTCAATGGATCAACATAGAGTAGGAAACTGAAGCCTCTCTATGGACAATAAATTGTAAAACCATTGCTTCTATGCTGTGAAAGTTTAATTGTTAATTAGTAAGGGATACCAGGGAATTTGAATTACATAAGCTGCACCACTGAGATTCAGTTAAGCCTATTTGTTATATGAGAAATGGGGTAAAGCAGCGATTAAAACTTGGCTATTTTGGCTCATTTGAAAACAAGTAATTTAGAAAAATATATTTGCTGTT